AGCTAAGCAGCCTTCCGTATTCCGAGGAGTCTTTAGGTACCGGACATAAAGACACTGAAATGTACATTGTCTCTCTCGGAAGTCACTGCACAGGGCATATTGCCTTCAAAGGACTACTAGCATCCAGTGCTTGTAAAATACATTCAAAAAGAGATCGATCAATGGCGGAATCTGTTCTGTACTCACCAGTCGGATCGCCCAGCTTCGCCGGGCGTGTGAAGTGGGTAGTGGTCTTGTATATACCCCCTCCCTACGATTATCTCTCCCTAACTCCATCTGCCAAACCATTGCTCAGTTTCACTTACTCCCCATTTCCTGGGGTTTTTCGGATGCGTTTTGAGGGTTTTTGTCCTTGGCACCATTCACTTCTGTCCCCCCCCCTAAGTGTGCTTCATTCATTTCGTCCGCCAACTGATTGCCTATCGTTTCCCACATTTTCCGCTCTCCGGGCTCTTCTGGAACCGAATTACGAATTTTTGAAATATGTAGCTCACAACTGTGCGCACGCCCCGCCCACAGTGGGCGGGGCTTAGCTTGGTTCATGTGTGTTCCGTACATCTTGGCCCATGCCCTACCCAACCCACCCTTGACCCGCCCCCTCCAACTGGCTCTTCAGGTGATTCCGAATTTCCGGACAGACAGACAGACAGACAGACAGACGTTGCCGTTTGTATATAGTAGGACACCAGAGGAACTGCTTAGTAGGATTTACTGAAGATATATAGACGTATAGTAGTCATTAAACCTCAGGACTTGCAATCTGCAATTATGCGGAATAAGCCGACTAGTTTAATTAAAACTACAACTTCCAGCGGTTACTGATTAAAAATCACCTTCAGCTGCCATTTACTTCGAGGCGAAGGAAGTTAGGTAGAGGTAAAAATTCCAGATCGAACCTTGAAAGCGGAAAGAAAATCACCGCACACAAAACAAACCTTCTCTAGGTATAACCTCCAGCTGTACATGGTCGCCGGATCGATATTCGCCATGTAGAACTGGAGAGCCCGCAGCACATTCGTAGACAAGGTTCTGGAATTTTCCGCGCTCCTCTCTCTCTCTTACATTCTGATAAATTAAGGGTTTAAAGGAAGTGAAGGACCAACCGGCCGTCCATCATGGAGCTCAACAGCGCTGAACTGTAGTTTTCCATCCTCGTCGACAGTGATGTGCTTTCGACGAATCGTTTCAATCACTGATCCCTGCTCTGTGTCTCTGGAAGGTTTTCCCGATTCATTTGACTATTCAATGTGAGTGAGCAGAATAGGCCGAGTGGTACAGTGGCAAGTGGCGCATATTAACCATATTAAAAGTGACCGGATCAAATCCTACTAGTCAACTATCGCCAAGCTTTCTATTCTCCGGGCACGATAATTTGGCACCACACTTTTTTGAAAAGTTGAAAGTTCTTGCTTTGACGTTGGCTATCCCCCCTGCAAACCGAATTAAATTACTTTTACATTCTCAAACGGAAGAATCATTCGTGGCGTTCCAGATAGGAATTGTTTGGCGCCAAAAGTTTTATCGTTCCGTCCTTTACTTGAACGGACATTCGGTGAATCAGCTTGAAATTTCATTCTTTCGAGGGTTCGTAGGGTCTTAATGGAGTCTTATCGAATTAGCATTGGTAATGCACATCGGGACTCAATTACACACTTTGGCAATGAGAATGGTGGGATTGCCTCATGGCATCTGCTGAGGTCCGCCGCGGACTCATGCATGAGCGTAGGGCCAGGGTACATCAACGTTAGGGAATCATGGGTCCGGGGGG